CTGTTTAATAAAAAAAAATGGAAGTAAAAAACCGTGGATTTTGAGTTTCTCTGATAAAACGCATTAATATTACGTAAAGAATAGGCTAAGTTCGACAGCGGCGCGATTCCGAATGATGTGAGCGAGATGCATAGTCATCGCTCTCTTTTCAATTAACAGAAATCGACAAGTCTATTCCGAAATGTAGCGTGATTCAGTGATTGTGATCCACCGGCAGTGATTGAAGGAGGAAGTGCGGTCGTTTTGCGTATCACAGATTAATTGTGCAATAATTCTGTTTTGTTTTAAAAGGTGACTATTAAACTTTACGTTATTTAATACAAAAAAGTATGATGTTATTGTTACTTCGCTATATTTGAAAACAAATTAAAAAATATTGTGATAATTTGCAGTTAATTCTGTTTTATTTTAAAATTACTTAGTATATCTTAATACTAAAGTCTAATAATTCAGCTTTGTATTAAAAATTATGCCATGGTTACTGGAGCAACCGACTAAGGATCAGTTTATTATAAAAAATGTTAAACCTGAAAATGAGTACCAATGTGATTTACTTCCTTTTCTTATTTTTAGTGATACAACTTGATACAATTGTTTAAAGTTAATTCTTTTTTTTTCTTGTAAATGGCACGTCGAAAGTAATGATTTTAACCATGTTCAATATTTTTATATGCATTTAAGAATGACTTCCTGGAGGGCTAAGAAAATCCTGGGCTTGATTCCTCAAGCCAGGAATGAAACATATAACACCGATCGAGAAAACTATGACGAGGTAAATAATTTATTTAACTTATTAATACTATACCTTTTGTATAAAATAAATGCAAGTTGATCAGAGTGGGTACATTAGTTAGGCATAGGCACAGTTATGACTAATTAAAAAAAAAAATTAGGCCTAATTTTCCCAAATTAGTCTTTTAATGTTTAATTATACAGTTTAATTGATGATTTGGTCATAATCAGCCATTTAAAGTCTCCACTGCTGAGATACAGACCTTTTTTATGGATGGTTAAGGTGGGTGACTCCACGCCCCGATGGGAACTAGAGGGCATTAACGACTTATGCAGCCGGGACCAAAGGTACTTTATACCTTCCGTAGCACTAAGGGGTATGAGATAGTAATAATTTTGGTCATCCATCTTGTGACCAGCCCTTGCGACCGTTGCTTAAACGCAACAATCGCGTATTTCAACTTGTAATTGTTAATTACATTTAATTTGTAATTGTTGGGTATACTCTCTCCCAGAGAGGAGGCCTAAATCCCAGCAGTGGGATGTTAAAAGGCTGTTGATATGATTTGATTTCGTAATTTTTGTGATTGTAATTTGTAATTGAATGGCAATCAAGAGTATTGTCTGAAGAAATTATTATTAAAACCATTAAGACTTGTGTAGATCATTTATTTATTTTTCTTTCAGTTAATAAACAGTGGGGAGTTAGAAGCAGAAAACAAGGAAAATATGTCTCCAAAGCCCAATTCAGTCACAGAAGTAGAAACGACGGCTCCGATAGAATGTTTGCTACAGACTGAAAAACAACCTGTTAAACTTGTATCTGACTATAGAAGCGATTCATCTTTTAGCGAAAATGAAAATATAGACGAAAAAAATGAGCCTGAGAATGGTTGTAATACCTCTGATAATTTGACATCATCAGTCATTAATAATTCTAAATGTTCACCGTCTAAAAGTACCAAGGTTTCGGTCTCTTCAAGATCGTCTTCATCTAGTTTGTCGACATCTAAGTCATCTTCATCGTGTTCTGCATCGTCTAGTTCGTTGTCATCGAGCTCATCGTCCAGCAATAGTGTAACACATGAACAAGATAGCGGTTTACAAGATATTCAGACAGGGTGTGAAGAAAATATACCATCTTGTCTCATTTCTCAAATAATAGGGAGGTACGGCAAAGGGATCGTAGAAGTAACAACAAAGCTGATCAAAGTGATGTTGATATCAGTGATGATCCTACTATAGATTTTAATACAATATTGGATAGGCCTGTCAGAAGAAAAAAATCTTTTGTTCGGGGAACCAACTTCCGATTCCTCCGATTCTAACAATAGTATAGAAAAAAAAATTGTCACAGTGGCCGAAAGCGGTCAAGAAATATTAATAAATGGCAGCAAATTAAATCAAAACAGCTCAGAAATACAGGAGAATCGTGTTTCGATGTCAAAATCTCGTAAAAGGATTACAGCAGGCTATATAAAAGATGCGTGTACAGAAAAATGTAAATTAAGATGTTCAATAAATATAACTTCAGAAAGTAGATTCAAACTCTTTAGTAACTTTTGGGATCTAGGTAACTTAGTTGCCCAGAGGACTTATATTTAAACATGTATGGTAGATGTGACTCTGAAATACAAATATACTAACGCTGAACATTCTAGGCGTCCTAACAAAGCCTTCTATTTTACTGTTAATGACCAATGCATTAGGGTGTGTAAGACTTTTTTCAAAAATACACTGTCAATTTCGGAACAAATGGTCTACACTGTCCAATCTAAAATGAGTGATGGTTTCGCAATGAATGAGTTACGAGGTAAACACAATAACCATAAAAAGCTTAATCCAGACCTACTAGATGATATAAGAAAACATATTAATATTATACCAAAAGTAGAATCACATTATGTAAGATCCTCAACTGCAAAACAGTACATTGGTGGTGATAACAAATAAAAGATTTATATAATGATTTTGTTTCGCAGCAAACTCAGTCCAACAAGAACACAGGTAATTATACGGCATATTATAAAATTTTTACAAATGAATTTAACTTAGGGTTCCACCAGCCAAAAAAAGATCAGTGTGATCTATGTGTTTCGTACAATAATTCAAATAATGAACAAAAAAAAGATATGGAATACCAATATCAGAAGCATTTAGAAGAGAAGACTTTAAGTCGTTGAGACAAACAAGCTGATCGTCAAAACGTTACAAAAGATAACAAAGTCGTAGTTTACGATTTAGAAGCTGTATTACAATGTCCACGAGGCGACACATCACCTTTCTAATATAGTCCAAGTTAAATAGTTACAATTTGACAGTAACAGAATTATTAAGCGGAGAAAAGAAAGCTTACAAAAATGTACACTGTTACTTTTGGACTGAGGTTGATGCCAAACGAGGTGCAAATGAAATAGGGTCATGTGTATGGGAATATTTAAAAAATGTGTGTGCGGAAGGTACAGAACCGAAACAGATTACATTTTACTCAGATAACTGCGTGCAGAACAAAAATAAATACATAGCAACCTTATACTTATACGCTGTAAGTCATTCAAATATAACCAGCATAACACATAAGTTTTTAATAAAGGGACACACTCAAAGCGAAGCGGATAGCGTTCACAGCTTAATAGAAAGAGAAGTAAAGAAAAACCTAAAATCCGGTCCAATTTACAGTCTCGATCAATATGTCACACTAATAAAAATGCAAAAAAAAAAGCAACCCACTGATTAACATACATGAATTAACAATCGACTCATTTAAGGACTTTAAGGCCCTTCAAGAAGAATGGGGACATAATTATAATATTGACAGAGACAGAAGTACTGTAAACTAGAATGATATAAAGATTTTAAGAATGGTGAAATCAGAACCTCTCAGCTTTTATTATAAAACTTCATATAATTATAACACTTTTAAACAAGTTGACGTTAGAAATAAAAGAAAGAAAATGATCAATATATCCAAAATTTCTTTAAACCAAGCATATAGAGAAAAACAACAACTGAGTGCTAATAAAAAAAAAGATTTGAATGAGTTGGTAATGAAGAAGTTGATTCCTTCCTTTTATGCCAATTTTTATAATTCAATAATTTAATTATGATTCCATTTCTCATTTTTTTACTATAATTTGATTAAATCATTAAATTATTGAGTGGGTAGACGATAGTGATTGTAAGATTCGCAAAAATAATAATAATTATAACTTAGAAATTTAAAATTTACTTTTGATAAAAATATGTTTTAGTTAAGAATAGTTTTCATTTTGATTATGTGCCATTTTACAATTATTTTGATTATTATCTTATATTAATTGCTTTTGATAAGAGATACAGACTGATTATTTGATTCGTAAGTAGAAGTTTTTATTGTTGTTAAAGAAGTTAATTTTTTATTATTTTTGTAGACACACTCAAGACTGATTGTTGGTTAATTTTTGTTTAAATTTATAATAATATAAGTCAGATTGTTCAATAAATTTTGTTTTGTTTAAAAAACCAAGTTTATTCTTAGTTTTTATTTTCTTTAAAATGATGAGTTCAATAATCTCATTTCACTCTCTCTTTTTGAATAGTAATAAACCGAATTAATCGAAAATATTGTCCGGACCATTAATTATACTTTTCAATTATAAAGAAGTTTTACGGCTTGCTACACTTTTTTTCAGTTTATTTTTTGCATAAAGTGAATTAAGTCAGAAGATTTTTTTTGGTCTCAAAATTATTTAACTTGTATATTTTTTAACAAAATTTTGGTATTGTCATTAAAATCTCTATAGTCCAATATATAAATAGCGATAGCTAAAGTAGTCAATAGCATAACACATTTTTTTTAACTTCAGAGCTGAGGGAATGATAAGTGAATCAGGGTATTTGCTACTTCATTTTGCTACCATCGTAACTTCTCCAATGTTAATGATTGATGTAATACTTTTTTGAATTAGACGTCCAGAGCAGATTAATAGTCAGAGATAGAAGGCAATAACTGTTAGCTATGTGCAACCAAAAATCCTTTATCACTACCCAATTAATGGCTTTAAATTTAAATTCTAACCTGGGAACCACACTTCAGAAGGCTAGTACACCAATAGCTAAGTTAAGCTTTTATTTCTTTGACTGTGGTTCACATTTTAAAAGCTCAGCCATAACTTTCTATTTTTGACCTTTTTAAATTTGGATATATAAGCTTCAATTCCTTTCAAGTATTGAATGATTTAAGATATAAGTAGTTGTTGGTATCCAAAATAATACAATATAGCCCTTACTAAGTCCTGGTGGGCTGCCCATGCTCATTTGTTTGTCTACTTCTGTTTGCATCTGTTTTAACTTTTCTGCCTCTTCTTCCATTTCACGAACTCTTGCTTTTATAGCAGCTAAATCAGGTACCTCCGTACCAGAAGCTTCATCACCAACCTAAAATGAGCAGTTAATTTTATATAATAGAAAAGAAATTTGAGGTTAAGGTTTAGAAACAAGTCGCCTTAAACGGGGGTGGGTGGTGATGGGCAAGGGATGGGGGAGGAGTAGATTCGACCCTCCACTTTTTCCCAAGCCAGATGTGCCTATTTTTTTATATTAAACGTTGATGATTAAAATTTTTATTGAATGATTTCTGAGAAAAAATCCTTTTAATAGGGAGGGGGTGTCCCCCCTCTGCAGAAGTAATACCAAAGTGTAGTTGAAGGATCCTCGCTAAGCAGGGCTCCTTTTTCTGGATGATTTATATGAAAATAACCACGAAGGTGATGGAGGGGTCTGTTTGCATGCTTCGCTCGCTCACTCGACCCCGCCATCCCCTTGTAACCTAGCCTGTCTGAGTCGGGGTGCTACTAGTCCTGAGCTCGTTTCACTCGCTCTTACACCAGATAAAACACCAAAATGTTAACTTTTATAATTACTTTAATAAGTAAACATATTTTATTACTTCCACCATTTCCAAAAATGTCATAAAATAGCAAGCGGTCTACAAGTCGGTAGCAAAGTGATCGAAAAACTACATATAAACATAGTGATTCTATTCTCTTTGGTCAAGTATATCCGTTACTGTCAATGTCAAAAGTTCCGTTTCAGATATAATTAGTAATTTATGAATATTTTTAGAAAATAATTTTAAATATTTCGATGCAGCTTCGGCAGCAAAATTTTATTTTTCATCTTTTTAAAAGCGTTACCCCCACACTAGGATTTTCTCCTGTATCGTGGAGGCAGTTTACAAACACAAATTGCACAAGGACAAACATCCAGACTCAGAACAATTATTTGTAGGCCATACAAATACTTGTTCCGTGCAGGATTCGAACCCGCGCCCCCCAGCGCAGCAACTCATTGTTTTAAGCCACGGAGCCGTCGATTGCATGGGGGTGCTTGAGATAAGCCCCCTTGACCCCCTCACTGTGTCTGACTCCTCAAATTAAGGCGACTTGATTGTAAACCCAACCCAAATTTGAAATTCTTTACTTAATCATTTTAATAATATTGTTTAAAGGTTTCTTTTGTGTCATATGTAAACACATATCTGTAATTTTTTTTTTAGGAAAGGTGTGACAAACGTGTCACAGAGACAGTCCACCTGATGGTAAGTGGTTGCTGTGGCCCATAGACATCTACATCTATCTTCGTTTAAGAATCAAAATGCAGATGCGTTGTCACCCGTGAGGACTAAGATGGAATGCCTCGTTTCCAGTAAAAAGGGTCTCCGGTTCTCTACACCCACCATACAAAACACAGTAGTGTTAAGCTGCTATTTTACTACTTTCTGTGAGAGTGTGGTCCTTCCCCGGTCGAGCCAACCCATTCGTGCTACAACCATAATATAGCTGCACCATGGCTCTACCATGTAAAAAAAAATTTAAGACGATGACAATGACAATACAAAATAGCGTCAGTTTTACGGTAGGAATTGACATAAATATTGCAAAAATAATTGATTTTCAGTAATATTTTTCTCAAAAAGTATGCGTTTCCACATATTGAAACTTTGCGTGTGTGCTTATAATAATGTAACCATTCTGTTAAAAAAATATCAACCTCCAACTTGATGGACATCAATGGAAAGCCATATTTTCAAAAAGGTTAACCAAGATGTGAATCAATACACATACTGTAACTTTAATTTTACTTAAAAAATAATCTTTGCTACATTTCCATAGCTATACCATTCATCCTGGTGTTATTTATACAATAATTACTTACAACCTGAAGATAAATAAGGTGTGAAAGGAACCCAGTAAAAGGAGAAACGTTAAAAGCTTTTAAAACAAACATAAGGATTAAAGAAAACTTATTACAGACTAAATTTAAAAACAATTAACTGTTTTTTTTTTACTATCCTATGATATGAAAGGAAGGGATTGGCGGATAAAGGGATGATGTGATAACTGATAATTTTTAGGACACCAATTGTTAAATATTATTGGGTATTCATAATGTGTAAGTTTTGACTGAAATAATCTAATATTTAAAAAAGTACTCACAGTAATAATCCACATTTAGCTAACAAAACCACACATTCAAAAGAAAGAGCTTCAATCAAGCAATTGATATGTTCGTTAAATATTTTATTAATATTATGTTACCATACAATTATATATTTCTTTACAAGAAGACATACGCAACATCAAGCATAGTAATTGAGATACCAATTTGCAGCAGTTACAATTACTGATGATTTATGTTATCAGACAATAATTGCAAGTAATTTTGAAGTTACAATATTTTGGATAATATTCAGAAAGCTTTTATAGAATAACAATCAAACAAAAAAAAATTATAACTTTCTACCACAAATAACATAGTATTAGGACTTAGATGAAAAATAAATAGTTGATAGAATTCCTACTATTAAATAACATAAATTAAAAACTTACGCCGATGCTATTGTCGGTCATGTTTATTGAACCGTTGGTTCCGTCCAAGTGATTGTTGTCAATGGACTCTAAATAATCATCATTTTCTGCCATATCCACTTTCACTTATAATCATCAACCTCTTTATGGTTTTGAAATATACACTGCACATAAAACTTGCTGTAATGATATATGCTAACAAGATGTTCTCAATTTTTCTAAATTCGTTAAAGTAATCCGATAATTACAAAAAAGCACTGTATCTGAAGCTAGAAGCTACCTGACGTACCGCGTACCGGTAACCAATTCGCAAACAATCAATTGACCTACTTTAAAAATATTTCTGTCACTAACATCTATCGTTACACGATTTTCACAAATTAACATAAAATTCAATAAACATTTTGGTACAATCGTAATATTAACCGATTAATTTGATGAGTTATTCAATAAATAACACAAAACCAAAGAGCACGGCAGGTAATCTTCATAGCTTCATACCATAGATTACTGTATATAAACTAGAGATCAGGGTGACCATCTTATAAATACAGATCCTGCCTTACTTTGGTTAAAAACCTGCCAAATCCTGCCAAAGCCTGTAGTGAAAAATGCCTAAATACTGCCAACTTTATGTACCATTGTATTAAACTAAGAAAAGTAAAAATACATATATAAATGCTATATTTCTTTAAATTTAAACATATCTTTCGTTGGTTTGAATGCAATGCAACCGCCATGCTCTCCAATGCCTTGTTTAACGTACAAAATAGATAGTAAATGTTTGTTTATAAATCTGTTTCGTGTTTTTGTCTTAATTAAATTTATTTGAGAGAATACTCTTTCGCATGTTGAATCCACTCATATTTTTTGATGTTTACTAGTGGCGGCATGCTCCTTTAAAGCGGACAGCCGGGGTGCCAATTTGCAGTTACACAGACTGGATCATCTTTAGCTTTGGAGTAAAAGATCTTGCTCCCACTTCGCTCTATACGGCCTTTCATATTTTCGTTTCATCACCGCCACCTATAATTAATATCGTCTACGAAATATTATTAACATTAACATCTTGTTAATAATATTACGTGGATTATGAAATCCAAGGCGATACCGAACTAAAGTACGTCTCTTTTATGACTGATTGAAATATTAACCAACTCGTGTAAATTCGTTTTAAGATTGTCAACATTATACACAAAAAAAAATAAAGTTGTTTATTGAATGTGATACAAACATAATACGAGAAATCGAGAAATATAGGGAAATCCAACCAACATGCTAACCAAGTATCTAGGGTTGCCATTTTCGTCATTTTAAGTTGCCATAATGAAATCTATTTTTAATACCCCAATACTGTCAAATACTGCCAGGTTTTACAAAACGTCAACCGATCATGCCATAGGCTAAAATAAGAGGCCTATCCTGCCAAAATGGCAGGAACCTGCCACATATGGTCACACTGCTAGAGATGTGCTTTTTATGCCGGGTTTCCACGCTTGCCGAGTCTCAGCAAGCATCCACAAGCACAAGTGTGTAATGCCTCAGGCCCGCCACATACATACGGAATTCCGTTTCGAGATTCCGTTTCGGAATTCCGAACGGTCGGCCACACACAAACGGAATCCCGTTTTAAAAATCCACACGCTTGGCAAACAACGGCGAACAGCATACACCAAACAGCAATCACGAACGTGTGGATGGTTGTTTGCCTGTTTGTTTCTTTGTTTGTATGTGATTGCCAGTGATCGGCGTTGGTGTCGGTTTTTGTGCACCGATCAAAGGGTGTTCGACAAACGTGTTTGCGATGTATCCTCACGTTTGACAATCAGTCAGTAGTACACGCGAGCTTGCGGCTTGCGGGCGGCGGAAGCAGTTACTAGTGGCCATTATTATTATTATACTCTACGCCAATGTTACCAATCCGAAATTTGTCTCAGAGGTAAATATGATTTCAGAAGTTGAGTTTCTTACCAGCACTACTCCTTAAAGTTAGTAGATCTACCACCTATATTTTTTTAAAGTTTTATAGAGACCTCCAAATAATAATGTGATTGACTCCTAATTAAATTTGAATCTGTAATTTGGCACAGTTATAAATATTAATCACGCCTAGAAAACTGTGAAATAAAATCTTAAAAAACATTTTTATTTTGGGTACTTCCCATACAAGTAAATAGAGGTGATTTTTGTACGTGTACCTATATTCTATCATGTGGGGTATCGTTGTATAGGTCTTTCAAAAACATTGGGGGTGTGGAACAACATCTTTTCGATTCAGGAAAATTTTCACAAGCGGACCGTTTGTGAAATTTTTCGCTTTAAAGCGCTATTTTTATTAGAGTCATGTGTCCCCGCCCCCCTACCAACTTAACAGATCGACATGTGAAAAGTATACCCAATAGTATTTTATATAATGCAGTTAAAAGGAAAACTATCACAGCTACGTAGAATCGAGAAGTTAACGAGTAATAGTTGACCAACTTATAAAATACACTTGGATTAGTAAAAATTTCGTTACATTTACATAGAAAAGACCTAAGACTAGGTGCATGAATAACTTTGTAAAGTCATTGTAAGCTGTTAAAAATAAAAAATTTATGAAGTAAACGGCTCATATGCATTACTACTATTAGTTTTGGCGAAGCGCTTAAAAATAGTATAACATTTTCAATCCATAAAAAATAAACAATTGTGCGTTTTGAAAATATTGCTATTAAATTGTATAAGGTGCTTCGAATAAAGACATAATCTATGTTAAAAGTAAATAGATTCAATGTAATGTCGAACGAAAGTTCGGGGTTCGATTCCCCAGTCAAGCATTAATTTCATAAATGTTTGTTTTTAGATTACTAAATTAATTAAAGTCACGTGTTACATAATAATCAATTATGCAATACGAATAAAAGCGTTCAAACTAAACTTATTTGAACCTGAAAACAATTTATAGTAGTGATAATTGAGAATTCATTTGAAATTCTGTGGTGTGTAATATCTTCAATACAATAACCTTGAGAGCAATTCATATTGCCTTATTTTTAAATAAAAATAGTTTAACCCGAAAGTAATCGCTGCCCCAAGCTCGTCATCCGTCATGTTTGCCTATCCGGAATATACTAGCACATTCGCCGAGCGTGTGGATGCCGTGTTTGTGTTGGGTGAATGTGGTCGGTGTTTGTTCGTGTCCATACACGAACAAACACCGACCACATGTTGTGGCAAACACCAAGCGTGTGAAGGCGCCATAAAGAGGGCGTTTGGCTTGGCTTGCGTGAGTTTGTGGACGCTTATCCCCGATCCGGGCTAGTGTCGGTTTTTGGACACAGATCAAAGGGCGCTTGCGGCAAGCGCTTGCAACGCATTCACACGTTGGTGCGCGTTTAGTAGAAATTGTGATTTAGCGACGAGCGCATGTTTAGTTCTTTGTTTAAAATGAGTGACTGGTCGAACGAAGAGAGTTTATCGTTTCTGGAATATTACCAGACCGAATCGTCTATCTGGAACCCCCAAGACGTTAATCATAAAAATAAAAAGAAAGTTGCAAATGCTTGGAGTAGTCTTGCCGAGTTAACGGGAAAGCCAGTAAAAGAATTAAAAGTCAAAAATTCCTTGTTTTTGTATTACTTTGCTTGTATTTCAAATAAAAGTATGTTAAACCAAACGCAATAGCCGACACAAGTTCGGTGTCCGCCATGCTAGGGTTTACGTAGCACACTGACGCATTCACAAGCATGGAAACGACTTCCAAACGCCAAACGAGACTTGTGGACGCTTGGGGCTTGAAGACGTTTGCCGAGGCTTGACAAGCGTGGAAAGGCAGCATAAAACTATGTCAGTATTTTTTATTTTGTGTATACTCCTAATTCGTAGGCTGGGGTAGGGGGGGTGGTGCAATTTACATTTAACAAATTTGGTTTTATCAACATTTTGTGTTTATCATTGCATGTAATGCATTTTTAACGATGGTGCAATTATATTCAAGCAAGGTGTAGTTTTGTAGTATTGCAAATAGTACCCAATTCTGATTATTTGAAGTTATATCGACGAATTAAAGTGCGTATTATTATAATATTACGTATTTAACTAATTTTATTTCTAAACAACATGGGTGCAATTCAAGTAACTATTATTTTTAAGATGTGCTATTTGAAATACGTTTGTCAGTATTTTCTTTTTTATATACATACACAAAATTCATAGGGTGGGGGGGGGGGTATATAGCAGTGCTATGCCTGATACGTTAAGGCAGCTTTTCACTATTGGATATAATATATATTACATCTCGAGATATAAATTAATATCGCTCACCATACATTTCATATGGAACCGTTTACACTGACCTATAATATATATTACATGTCAAGCTATAAATATTTTTTCGATGGAGTGAGCGATATTTTCATATTATATTTCGCCCCCTGTACCCCGCAATCCAATGGCTAATGACGAACGCACACTGGTTAAAAGATATATCTCACAGTGTGAAAGCCAATCGCGGGCTATAATTTATATTTCGGGATACAATATATATTATATCCCATGGTGAAAAGCCAGCCTTAGTTCATAATCCCTAAGAGATCACACATAACCCCATTTTTAAATCGACACGACCTGATGAGTATGGCCGCTAGACGTACTCTCCACCTTACGTCATTGCTTTTTGGAGTAATAAATACCTGGGAACCATCATACTTGTACCAAAAGCTCATTTTCTCGCAGCGTGCGGTTAAGACAGCATCACGACTCACATACCCTAAGCATCACACAGCTACCTTCCGTGGCAGTTTCCGCTTTGCTGCCACTAAGTGCTGGAATGACAAAATCCCCACCGATCAGAAATAGTAAATCAGTTGCCACTTTCAAAACTTTATTAAAAAAGTTTCTGATTTCAGCACAAAAATCCAGCAAATAGGCATAAATGGTATGGTTAATACACTCTCAATGCTAGCACCGTACATGCACCCACTAACGTACGCACATACTCACTCACGTACGCATGCACACATCCACTCTCTCTCTCGCTCTCTCTCTCTCTCACACACACACACACACACACACACAATTTATTTTATTTTTCTGTATGTATACCATCTTTTGTTATTAAAACACTATAAATG